GAATGCAAAACGTATTTTGTTTAGTTGACTATGTTCAAAAGGGCCACACAATCAATGAAGCATACTATGTCAAATTGCTGAGTCAGTTACGAAAGCCTATCAAGACCAAAGACTCAGGAAGACAACGGAATAAAAGTGTTTCATTAGAACAATGCTCCAGTAGAGAAATCCTTGGTTTCAATGCCTTCTCTGTGTGACTGTAGCTTTGCTCTGGATGACTGCCCTCCCTATTTTCCAAACATGACAAAAACACTTGACTGGGAATCAGTATCGTAATGATGTTGACATCATGTCTGCTGTTGATGTCTTTTTTGAACAACAGAATGAATAGTTTTCTTTGAACAGTCAGCTGTCACTTTATATGGAAAGAAAATGCAGTTATCAGTAAGAAGTATTGAAATTAATACATGCAATATGCTCTGGCATCACCCCTTCATAGCCCACACTCATATTACACTTAGTATAATGAATAATGATATTTTTTGACTAACTGAACGAGACATATAAAATTAGATTAATATCATAACACTCCACTGATATTGACTAGTAGTCAATCAACGTGAGACATCAGAACCATATCCTTTTTGCACATCCATACCAAAAATAATCTAACGCTTGCTAAGTAAAAAAAAATGAAATTAAAATTCTTTCAAAAAAGGATAACACTAAAAATGGTATTAAACTTCACATTTTTAAATCTTCAAACTAGTTTTTGTTTAATAAAATAAACTCTTGTTATGAAGAACAGCAGGTTTAATTTCAAACGGCACTGGAAGATTAAAAGCATTTTTTTTTTTAGAAATATTAAATTGAATTTTTTCTATCGAATCTGAAAAGAAAATAACGTCTCTTCTTAAATTATACAAACACCCATTCTTAAAAAATTTAAAAAAGTTTTATTGAATGTTCATACTGATAATTTTTTACTGAAATATCTCCAGGGATTTCCATTTATATAACTGAACACAAATTAAAAAAGTACATATGCGATATCGAAAATAGATGGGAGGGGCGGGCATAAAACCCAAATATTTCCCTAACGGTTTTTAATAAGATAACCTCAAATCACTTTTGAAACTGCGAGGTTGAAGCCATTCAAAATGTCTTGAAATGAAATCTTAATCGTTAGCACTTTGTCCTATATTTCGCTTTCTCTGACTAACAATCTCGGCTGACATGAAGTCGAAACACTATACCGATTCCATTTCTAGGTCAGCTGCTAAGAAAGTTGGTTCACTGTCTCTATCGGCTAACCGGATGACTATGAGCGTTCCGATTCTTATATTACGCTCTTCTGTATAAAAAATTGCTACGAAATAAAATCCTTGGACGTTTCAATTGCTATCTTCTGCCCTGAGATGATGAAATACGTCGACATAGATAATTTTTCATTTTGCATTTAGTCATATCAACATTAATCTTCAACCAAATTGAATTGAGATCTTCGGACCACTGACGTATTTCACATATAAAAGGTTAACATTTCTCTTCCTCACTGCCGTGCTACGAAAGCCTGGGGGTAGAATCTCTGACTTGGTGTGCAAATCGGTCGAGTTACGATCGCAGCTTGAAGTCTAGCCACACTGAAGAGCAGTGACAGCGAAACATTCTGTCTGTGGATGACTATATATATATATATATATATATATATATATATATATATATATATATATTTGTTGTCGCCTGTTTAGGGGCGGAGAAAGAAAGATACGGAAGACGAAGGTATGTTGAAAAAGTATATTGAAGATATATAGAAAACAATAGTGTTAGTAAAAAGTAGATTAGCACTGCGTCTACTACTCCACTCCACTCAACGCTCCGTCCGACTCTCGCAGTTTGTTTTGTATTTATGAGAGAAGGAAGAGTTCATTATACTGTAAGAGGGTTTACCACAACATATATATATATATATATATATATATATATATATATATATATATATATATATATATTCAATCATATACAGAACAAACAAAGCAAAAAAAAGTTACAAGACAATACTGGGTGTTGAAGAATTAGAAAACAGAAACAATACCAGGGAGCAAAAAAAAAAAAAATGAATAAATAAACACGAACATTATTCAAGAGGATAGTAGATAGTGATTGACATTGCATTTACATTTTCGAAGATTAAAGTTGGTTGAAAAGCCTGGAGCGGGAATGAAATTCTACAAGCGAAAAGAAACTGTTAGCTGAGAATTTACAGTTTGTAAATTGATGAAATTCGTTGTCAATCTATTATTATTGGTTAAATTTGAAAAGTCTAGGTACAATAGCGAAGAGCTCATGGGAACAATTATCATGTAAGTTTTTATAGACAAGTCACCCTTCTCAACCTATATATATATATATGTTGAAACTTGACCAATGCATGGAATAATAATGCAACACAAAATGTACTTAGAACAAAATGTATTGAAACAAGAAAGTGTACACAATATTTACATATAGTCTTTTGTATATTCCTGGTAAGACAGTTCCTGGAGTCGCAGTCGGGCAGAGTCTCTGGTTGAATCTCTTGATTCCTACCTCTCTTCCCGGTACCAACCATATTTATATGGTCGGTACTCCACTATGCAAATTAGGTGGATCCTACCACAACAATATATATATATATATATATATATATATATATATATATATATATATATATATATATATAAGTGCTTATACATAACATTCAACACCGGTAGCACGAATCAGAGTTTCATGGAAACGTGCAATCTTTATGTGCGGAATATAGTCTTAATAACTCTGTTAATTAACATTGAGCACTGATTTATAACACCTGAGAATGAAATATATACTTACGTACAAATATATGTGCACATATGTATGTTTTTATCATACCATTATCTATCTATCTATCTATCTATCTATCTATCTATCTCTCTCTCTCTCTCTATATATATATATATATATATATATATATATATATATATATATATATATATATATATATATATATTTTAAAAAAAAAATATGATTCCTTCGCTACATAAGAATTCTCAAGCTTCGAAAACAAGAGCCGAAAACCTCAATATCATTATTAAAATTAAATTGTATTAAAGTTTCAAGCCCTGTTTCATCCTCAAGCGAAAATTTAGGAATAACCAATTTTGAAATTTACGCATCATTTTAAGCATGTTCATTAGAAAAATTAATTACTATGGAAGCGGCTGGGGTGACCATTTTGGTAAGGGGCATGAGAGTTAATTTGTATCCACATATCAGTCACCTTCTGAAAGAGGTCGAGCTGAGGTACGGCCGGGGTTTCCATTTCAAAGCAAATGATGGTGTTAATGTACGCACATCGTCTGGTCAGTCACAGCAAAAGATAGCTGTTGGCACAATAATACGTCGTTAGGTGCCTAAAGAAATTTATTTTATTTATTTATTTATTTTCCTACGTCGCACTGAACTAAACTTTGTTGTTTTTTTGACGACTTCATAAAGCTTTTTCTATCTTATGATCGGGTTAAGCTTTTTTATATATATATATATATATATATATATATATATATATATATATATATATATATATATATATATTGTCATTTTTATGATGAATATTTTTTTGGTTATGTTTTGCACACTTCTCTGCGTAGTACAATTCTCCGTGTCGTGAATACCAACCGGGTTTGCCAGGCATAGTCACCCTATGTTCGCCAGTTGTTCTCTATTTATACTTGTCTATCTAATTTGCATACGATACTACAGTTTTAATTACAATAATATTAGACGCGATACTTTGGTTATAATCCTGAGCTTATTTTAAAAATGCGTAAACTTATTCTTTTTCAAATCCCGATATTTTATGTGGAACTAGCGAATAAAATCTAGACAAGCAATAGTAAAGTTTTTTTAAAGTTAAATGTATAACTTTTCTAAAATTCCTAATCATGGCGTTTATTCCCGCAATTTTTTTTTCAGATAATGCCGAATTATCTGTTTCGCGATAGCTGGTGCTTGCTCGCTTTTCTGTACAGGTCAACTTACTCTCCATTATAATCAACATGTACGTCTTTTTTTTACAGACAGATTATCATATGCCCTACTCGACGAATAATTTATAACGCAATCATACGCCGACCATGAGATATATACGTTATCACGTCTATGGAGAGATACGGGCTATCTCTCCCAGATCATGATAAGTGGACAATTAGTAAACAAAATATTTTAAAGAACACTGTTCGATTGAGATAATCAAACAGTAATCTTTTCCCAGGTTCGCTTCGGTTTCAACACATATACCGATCCACAATTCAAGGATGAACGGTGAGGCGTAATAAATTTTGGTATAAGAATTTTAATATATACGTATACACAAGATATTGCAATAAAAGAAAAATATAAGCATGAGTAAAGCATCCGTCGACCAGAACCTCAAGACTTATGTTGGGATACCAAAATATGCCCAAATCCAAGTGGATTCGATTGAACCCGAACGGATAAAAAAAAATAAGTATGAATAACTACGAATGCAGAAATCAACGCATAACCAAAAAAAAAAAAAAAAAAGAGATGGGATAGGATTTATATATTACTATTTTGACATGTGGAAAGGTGTTTGTGAGAACATAAAATTTATGGATGCATGTGTATCTTTCTAACACAGGTCCAAAATATATAGTTACTATCTTTATATCTTATTTTTTTGTGGGTGGGGGGTGTAAACGGTAGTGTCAGAGCTATGCCGCCCGGAACTTTGTTCCTGGTAGGGCCACCCAAGGCGGACAGGTCTGACACATACGCCGGCTAACAAGGGCTCTGGTGAAAATCCAAGGAGCGTCTGCATCGGTAACCGGCGGCTTCTGGTCGTTCCTGTCTCTGCGTCTGTGGGAATCCCGCGGCAAGCAAGAACGTTATTCGAGTAGGCCTGGGTACCCTACTTCTGTAATTTATCCCAAGAATCTTCTTCTCATAACAGGAAGAAGCCGGCTCAATCCGCCCAGGGTGAATGCCGCATCAGTACAGTACAGTATCTTTATATTTAGTTCTCTCTCTTCCTCATTGTCCTTTCTTTTCTCTCTCACGTTTCCTCTTTTCTTTCTTTCTTTTCTTTACCCAAATTCAATTCAAACACGGCCCGCCTGCAACAGAGATATATACTTTCTTCTTCTCTCTTGATTTCTCTTTTCTTTCTTCAAAACACAGGCTGTATTCTCAGCATGCAAATTTCCTTGCGTCTTCTGTGATAAATAACTCGATTTATCTTCTTCAATCTGGAATTGACGAACAGAAATATACATCCTTATATTTCTTATCAGGAGTTGTTTATGATGAATCGGACAAGTTCCATCATTACCACAATGAGTCTCATCTTTCCGTTCATGTTATCGGCGCTTTGATTTCGAGTCTTGCTCCTTCAAAGACCAGACAGCAACTGACTTCAAAGTAATTTCTAATTCCCACGTGTTCTGCATTTTGGCCCGAATTCCAGTTCCTGCTGCTTCACGACCTTACGTCAGTCCCCTGTATAGATTCTGTCTAGACGTCTGTTGCTACAGGTAACTGGGTCAGTCAACCTCTTGACCTGCTTCCCCAAAATGACTCAGGACTTCCACGGGATCTCTTCTGTTGTCAAGCGGAGATTAACCTTAATATATGCGTGTATTTGGGCTATCTGCATTTGTAACAAGATTTAAATTGCTTTACCCAAAAACTCTTTTTTTTCTAAAATGTTTTGCATTGTAGAAAACATTCCATCCGTTTTATTAAAACGTATAGAGTACTGAACAGTCTTGGCCAAAGGTAAATAATTAATTACCAAACAAAAGAACCACAAAAATAATTCTAACAATTGTTCAGGCTCTTCAACTCGTCTGTTGTTATAATATAGTTCTGCTTTGACAATGAAACGAAAAGAAAATAAATTGTACAAAATATACTGATCAGTATACATCATTTTCAGCAACCCGCGTGGCAGAAATGATTCACTATTTTTATAAGACAGATTCACACTCAACAAAAAAATTAAATCTAAACACCAGAATATTTATATGCCGTTTAACTAATATCAATGCCATTATGCATCCACGGAGTTGACACAAGCCTCATTTTTCTCCGTATTCTATATATATGGAGAAAGTTTCATTCAGTTTTTTTCCCGAAAATTTTATACGTTGTGAAAAATTTTCTTGCGTGGATACATCCCCAAACTCGATCGGTTAAGAGCACGTCAGGTTAAATGACTGTTCCGTATAGGATACAGGTTCGAATCCTGTCGGAGAACGAATATTTTCTATGAAAATTTCTCGGATATTCAGGCCGGTAAATGTCGTTTAATACTGTTTATTATAAACAAAGCATTTACTTAAATATTTGTATCTATAAAAAAAGAATGTATAAACATAAAAATGTCTTAATATGTGTTCTTTTTTACAGATGCACATATTTAAGTAAATGCTCTGTTTATAATACACAGTATTAACGACATTTACCGGCTTGAATGTCCGAGAAATTTTCAAAGAAATTGTAGTTTAAAAACAGTAAAATCGACCTTGCTAACTGGAACGTTCCTCTGTGGCTAAATCGATAAAGCACGTCAGGCTATATGACGGTTCCGTATAGGATACAGGTTCGATTCCTTTCGGTGGGTGTATATTTTCTATGAAAATTTCTAGGACATTCAGTCCGGTAAATGTCGTTAATACTTTTTATTATAAACAGAACATTTACTTAAATATTTGTATCTATAAAAAAGAACGTATAAAATAAAAACGTCTTAAAATAATTGATTGACTTTGTCCACCCATTTTATATATATATATATATATATATATATATATATATATACTGTTAGTTCGATGAGATGAATGTTCATCGAAGTAAATTTATTACCGGCAATAGATTTTTAAAATTATACATATATAGATAGATGTGAGTGTGTGTGTGTGTGTGTACATACCCACGCGTGCGTGTGTCTACATTCCCGCGCGTGCGTGCGTGTGCGTGCGTGTGTGTGCGTGTGTGTGCGTGCGTGTGTATCATGTAACAACATAATTATCCATCTCGCAAAATGTTTAAAATCTAAAAAAACGCTGAGTTTCATTTTTCCAGGTTTTCAGAAAAGACATCTTTACACTCTTTTTCGTAAGAATCTATGAAAACCCTTTGACTTATTCAGATAAAAAAGGATCAGGTTAAAATTGTTTTGTGTCAAACACACTTTTTTCCCAACTGAGCAATGATAAGAGGGATAAGATCATTCAGGTGTTCAGTAATAGTTCCAAATTTCATACTCTGGTTTCTCTCTTCAAAGTCTATTCATGAACCATCAAGGGAACGGTAAATAAGTTTAAAAAAGAGGGAACTGTAGTGAGGAAAACTGGATCAGGCGGTCACCACAACTTACAGCTAAAGAGATCAATTAGAAAAGATCCAACTAAATCCATAAGAGGTTTGACAAGTGAAAGAGTTGTTTCAGCTATCGCAGTCCAAATACAGGGAGAAAAGAGCTAGAAATGAAATCGTAAGTGAAACATATCAGACTACTTGTTATTCCAGAACAGAAATTTAGAAGTTTAGAGAGGACGAAGATCATCTTACTTATTATAAAACGCAGATTGTGTGTGTGTGTTCGTTTATATATGGGATCGTATTTCCTACATTTTTCAACCAATTTCAACAAAGCTTCACAAAACTACGTAAAATTACCCGCCGGTGGTTCTGACAACGCACAAAAGTGGAAAAACATAATTCTTTTTGCATGAAATCAATTTGAAAGCACGGTTAAAGGTATCGCATCTGGCCGGAAGTTACTGTCGGCTACTCAAACGCCCGAATACCGTTAACTTCCGGTGACTCAGCGTTTCTTTTCAGAGATCGATACACAAAAAGTAAAACAAATGAAACATAAACATACACAAGTCCTCCTAACTAAAAATAATACCCGGAAACTACTTTAAATGCACGTATTGTCCAAATGAAACCCACGTGTACAGTCAAAATGCGGAAGTTAATTTTTAGTCATCAACCAGAAGATATCGCCAACCGGCTACGATGCTAACCGCAGCCGACATAAATACAGCCGATTTCTTCCACCAAGCAACTTGGCTAACAGTCTAACTCTCTGTCTTAGGTCGGAGAGAAACCCGGACGAGGCTCCGCCGAAGGGCAGAGTCTCGTTCAGGGTGGTTGACTGCCCCTCAACCCGTTTATGCGGGTTCAAAGAGGGAATATTTTGGGCGAGCCTACGGGCTCGGAGATCCCACGTTAAACCGGGCCTTGTGCCACATGTAACCCTCGTGGGGGCTAGCAGATGCAAACTATGCCTGGAAGAAAAAATTAAAATAATTAAGTACAAAAATACAAGCCAGTTATTGAACCAGAGAAATGAAATTATATTTAAATGTCATCATAAAAATAAGTTTATATAGTCTTAAAATAGACATTTATTTTGCATCAAACACTGAAAAATATACATTGGTTTGTAACTATGTAAGTTTATATATATGTATGTATATATGTATGTGTGTATTGTATATGTGTGTATCTGTCTAGTACTTTTATTACTATTATTATTACTTTAATATATATATATATATATATATATATATATATATATATATATATATATATTACTATTAAAGGATGATGATGTTTAAATAAATAACAGCATAGATTGCACTTCTATGATTTTTATTACTGGTTGCGCAGTTAAAGTTTTATCCATAAAATTTTCCCCTACCTTCCCTTACTGCAATATCCTCAAAAAAATCTAACGTAGGATCTGTAATGTAATCGGTACTGAATTAGCTTCTTGACTTCAGCCGCTTTCTCACAGACGTGATGTGGCTTCCCTCTATCTTTTCTACAAATATTTTCATGGCTACTGCACTGATGAGCATTTTTTCCCTGGTGCCCTGACTACATGAATTTAAGTGTACTACTAGATTGGCATCTAGGTCCCAACTTTTTACTGTTGAAATTGTTAAATGTAACCGCCCTTCTAACAGTTTCTTTCCTCGCACTTCTCCATATTGGAACTCCATTCCTCTCACTTGCTTCCCTGTTAACTACAATCATCAAAAACCTAAATGCAACCTCAGTCACCATATTTTGTTGCATTGATACCTGTTCTTTTTTCCTTTCTTCAATCCCCCCTACACCCACTCTTTTCTCTCATTTTCACTCTCCATTACCCCCTGTGTGATAAGGGAATTTCTGACTTGCTTGGGGTGAAATGCTTAAAAAAAAATCCCAAAAATTGAATACAAAATAATTAGGGTACTGACAAAAGTATCTAATAAAATAATTAGGGTACTGAAAATAACATCTACCGCAATCAAAGGTAAAGCTCTCCCTACCAACAGCTAAAATAATAAAAAAGTGCCCAATACAATATATATATATATATATATATATATATATATATATATATATATATATATATATAACAAAAAAAAACAACAGGTTTTTTCCAACCATGTAACAACAAAAGTAGTTTATGTTGCAACCATATTAAACATACGAATTCATTCACTAGCTCAATCACTAAATCTAATTCAAAATCTACCACGATTCTAACTGTAGAAGTCATAACATAATTTACCTCCTAGAATGCACACTATGCCAGAAACAATATGTATGAAAATCTGAATTGCCCTTTCACTACAGAATTAATAATTATCGTAAGCGAATTAAGTCGACTCCCCATGAAAAATTATTACCTGTAGAACAACATTTCCGCCTGGAAAAACACGATTTCAAAACCCATGCCAAATTAACTATAATTGAAAGAATAGAAAAGTTCAGAGCAGATAACATTAGAAAGATTTTAGACTCCCGTGAAAATAAGTGGATGCAACGTCTAAAAACACAATATCCAGCCGGGCTAAACCATAAATTTAACAATATAGATAGTAGTAATATATAACTCAACAAATCAAAACCTACCCACATTTCTCACCCACACAAGGCAGACATGCTTACGGAGGTGTGGAGGCCTCACACTTATACACAAACCCACACGAATATACACACTTACACACATCATACTCACTCACTCCCTAATGAGCCAAATGATAACACACACCCACAGCAATACACACGCTTACACATATCATACTCACTCACTCCCTAAGAACCAAATAACACACACACACAATCACTAAACAGAGACACATCCCCTCTCCAGGACCAATAAAACTGTCAAAATGACCACGGGAATTCAGAGAAGCATAGATCCATCCAGCTCTTATCTCAAATAACAACTTAAAAGAGACTGTTTCACCAACACAAGGAATGTTAAAAGATTCATGTTAAAAAACTAAAAAAACTAAAAAAAAACACATGTAAACTACAGACAAAAGTTCATTTTCTCCAGCAAGACATTCATATCTGTAGTTTACTTCTACCAGCAAGCAGAAATATTTCTCCTCCTGATGATGGCCATTT